ACCAGGCAGTGTGCCTCACATAGCAACATTTAATGAATGCCAGTGCAAAGGAGGTGTGAACTCAGCCTGGCTTTTTCTCCCCCAGGTTTTCCACAGGAGAGTCACAATATGGTAAAATAAAGCGTTGGCGAAGAAGGTTTGAGGGAACACCAATTTGAAGAAAAAGCCTTTGTCGCACTGTCCTCTTCTGAATGTCTGAACAGATCATCAAAGTTGCATTTTGTGGGGCTGGAGAGAAAGCAGCAGCTTACAACTGTGTTTTTGCAGTTCCAGGAGATCCAACGTCCTCCTGGGGCCATTGCAGGCACCGTATGCATATTACACACACACACACACACACACACACACACAGGCAAAACACTCACAAAAACAAAATACATAAAATTATTAAAAAGTTGCATTGTGCTAATCCCAGCACTCTTGAGGCAGAGGCAGACAGATCTTTATGAGTTCCAGGCCAGACTGGTCTACAGAGCGAGTGCCAGGACAGCCAGGACTGTTACACAGAGAAATCCTGTCTTGAAAAATCGGAAAAAAAAAAAAAGTTGCCTGTGAAAATGTCCATTATAGATTAAGTCTGCTATCATTTTGCACTATTTTAATTAATTCAACAAAAGACTCCTCAGGGAATATAAAAACATAATTTTGGTATTATTTTCTCCTTTCTGTATTCAGTTTTGTTGTGCTGCTGTTCAACATAGCAGAGCGAGCCAATTACATGTAATTGTGGAAACTGTGGCTGAATTTGCATATGAAGCACACACCTTTCCCTGTCTCTAGCTGGCATTGTTAACTAGGTTATAAATAGCACAACTGACACCCTGCAAACAGACAGAGTTTTTTGATAGGCACATGCTATGAATGAGTGAAGTGTTCACACACCTTTTTTAATTGGAAAGCTTTCATTACAGCTAGCCAAAGGGAATGTAGCTGATTTCCTATCACAGCCTTGCCTAAGAAGTCATCTCTGAGGACTTAGGTGAAGTATTCTCAAAACAGACATTTATGGTTGAACAGTGGTATCCCCAGCCAGTATCCATATTTTGATAGTACCAATGGGCAAACTTGTAAGAAAATGTAGCTGTTGTTCTTTAAGTGAGAATGGCCCCCTATATTCTCATATATTCGAATGCTTAGCCCTCAGCTGGTGGAACTGTTTGGAAAGGATTAGAAGTTGTGGCATTGTTGAAGGATGGGTGTCATTGCAGTTGGACTTTGAGGTCTCAAAAGCCTTTGCCATTCCCAGTTTGCTCTCTCTCTCTCTCCACCTCTTGCCTGTGGATCAGGTGAAATCTTTCAACCACTGCTCCAGAATCATGCCTGTTTGCTACCATGATGGCCATGGACTCTGAGCCCCAATAAATGTTTTCTGATATTAGTTGTTTTGGTCATGGTGTCTTACCTAGGCAATAGAAAAACAACTAAGACATCCTTGAATTAAATAATCCTGTGAAAAGGCAAAGAAAGTTACAGGATTGAGGCTAGCAAGATGGCTCAGACAACCTGAGTTCAAATCCTGGGACTCAACATAGTAGGAGAGAGAGAACTAATTCCCCAGAGTTGCCGTTTGAGCTCCATGCCTGCACTGTGGCACTCACATGCCCATACAATGAACACACACACACACACACACACACACACACACACACACACA